TTAACTAACCAATATCTTCTCCTATAATCAAGGAGAATCCCACGAAATAAGGGCAAGAATCTCGGCTAAGATCCCACTGAATAGAGAATAGCCCTATAAATACTATGTAACGCCCCCAAGGAAGGAGGGACCCTAGAAGCAAAAACTAGTCATTGTACTCTTACAATCATCATTGAAAGACAAGGAGCAAAAGTCTTCATTAAAGAGTGGATTAGCCAAACTCCCGAGCTGGTGAACCACTATATTTCTACTGTGTTAATTCCCCAACTCCCAAACAATTCTCGATATCATTCACTCGAGTCTAGTAACTCAGATCCCAAAAATTCTAATATTGTTTCTTTTATTTACTCGTCATCACAAATTTGCATCATGTTGAAATACACCATCAGATTTCATGCCATTCCATATGATTGATGAGGTTTTCCAAAGTATTAAACTTGACTTTCTCTTTGGTTTAAACCATTATATTGAGAGAGAGAGAGAGAGATCGTTGAAGAAAACGTGTTCAGTGATAGGAACACTCCTGTGCGAGTATGGTTAACCTTAAAATCTCATTTTAATAGTATATATTCGACATGGTGTGCTATGATCTGTAACATAATAAAAAGGAAAAAGGCCACCCCAACCAACCCAAAAAAAAAAAAAAAAACCATCATATCTGAGAGGTCCCGCGTAAAAAAACCCTCATTGAAAACCATTGACAGGCACTGGAAGTCACCCAGATAAAGAATTCTGTAGCCATATACCTTTCAATGAGGAGACAAATACTAATCATCAAATTGCATCAGAACTCAAACGTGCAGACTCGCACGACACAAATTCACAGTTGACGCCAAGCAACATGCCCTGAAATCATTCTTTTAGGAACTATATACACTGTATAAAGACCATAGTCCTCACAGTAAGTGCTTGTTTATGTACAGATCAAGTAGAAGAAATGGAACAAATGATACTGCATACTGCGCGGGCTTCCTTATTCGGTCATGGATGGAAACATAAACCACTCAGACACAGATGAAATTAACACATAATACAACAAACAACATACAGACATTGCACGCATATTCTTCAATGATGAATAGTTATCAAATTGTGATATGAATTATAGAGGGGATTAAGACGGAGAAGAGGGTTTGGGGTGGAGGAATACAGAGGGTCAGGGTTTGGGGGGAGGGGAGTCGCACAGAAAATTGAGGGGATGGGAGGGTTTTGGGGAATTTGGGGTGGATGAGGTTGAAGGTGAAAGGAGATAGTGGGAGGGAGGAAAAGAGATAGTGGTGGTGGAGGAGGCGCAGCGCAGCCGGTGGTGGAGGTGGCGCAGCGCTGGTGGTGGAGGTGGCTCAGTGCTGGTGGTGGACGAAGTACCGAGAGAGAGAGAGAGAGAGAGAGAGAGGGGGGGATACCTGGAAGGGTTTTTAAGAATAGATTGAATTTGAAAATTAAGTTTAAAACCTGGTAAATTTGGAAATAAAGTTGGTGAGGAGGCTGATTTTGGGAAAAAACTCGAGCTGTCAAATCTTCAAGTTTCATCTCATTCCAACCGGGGTTCCAGTTCCAGATCTAGAAGTTGAAAGTTGAAACCCTCCCTTGTCTCCGACTGTCCAGCTGCGCCTGAAGAAAAGGTTATATACCCGCTTATTTGTTACTGCTTTTGTTTTGTTACGAAAGTATAGTTTGCCAAAATCCAATGACTGGTGAGGTCTTAACACTTAGTTCTTGCTTTAGTTATGGCAATTGACAGTGCAGTATACTAGCATAGTTGTTGTTTTAATTTTTTGATTAAATCTTGTAGGTATTTTAGTTAATTGGATTTATTACATTGACACCTCCTATAGATTAGTCTAATTAGAGAGACACCTCTTTGAAATTACACCAACACTTCTTACTCTTTATCTACTTATTTTATAAAGTACCCCTATGATCAGCATCGTTATTGACAATATCAAAAAAATGATTATATCATCAACTTTTTATACTTTAACACTCATATTACCCTTAAACAAAATTAGGTTAACCTGTTCATTTTTTAGACGTGTTCATATTCGTATTTTTTTTTACAATGTGGGACCTCTCCAAGGCGGGGGCTACATTGGACCCATCCATGTAGGAGTAAACTCTGGATACTTGTAATCACTCGTAAACCACATGTATCGGTTAAACCTGAGAGACACCAGCGAGAGTCGAACTCCTGATGTCTGGGTCTATGGTTCGTCTGAATTCAACTCCACACCGTTAGACTACTTATGTGGGCGTATTTGTATTCATGTTAACCTATATAAATTTTGAATAAAAAAATTTAACACTAAGATTTAAATCTAATATTCTATTATCACTTAATTGGATCTACACTCATATTTTCTTTTATAAATTAAAAATAACTTAATAAATATAGAAATAATAATGAGTAAAAATATTTTTTTATACAATAATTATGTCAGTACTTAATAAATAATAACAAATAATTTTTTTTTTATAATATCAGTTAAACATGTCGATCATGTCAATATACAAACGATAAGATAGAACAAGTTCGACATAATTAAATAAATGAGTTTATCGTGTTAATTTTGGATTTGGCAAGCTGAACCAAAAAATGACCCATTCATTAATATATATTTAAATATATGAGAGGATGATAAGTAAAAAATAAAATATAATAAGAGGAATTATGAAAAATCGTATTTTTTGTTATATTTGTTATGGGACAAGGCCTGATGGGGGGTGCCAGTGTAATTTCAAAAAATTGAGGAGGTGTCAATGTAATTTATCCCAATTAATTTTATTGATGAGATGTAATTTGTTATTGGTGAAAAGATTATTTGAAATTTTGGATGACTTGTGTATTTAATGGTAATGAACATGTGTGAAATAAATTATGTATTATGTGTTAAACATGTTGTGTTATGTGTTATGTTAAAAAAGTTAAACATCTCATGTTATTTCTGTAAATCTAAAAACGATCATTTTATTAAACGTATTAAATAGGTAGAATTTAGGTAACTCGTACGATGACCAGGTCAAATTAATATTTTCACGTCTTGATACAAATATTAAATTGGTCAAATTCGTATTTGAAAATCGACACAAACTGCTAACCAAACACAACACATTTGAAACTCCTAACTGCCCCTGATTGGGTCATAACGTCTTTGGCAGGTTAAATGATGCATGGTACCTATAACCAGACCTAACCCTAGGACTGCTTGAGAGGACATACTCTATTTATCTATTTCAATCTCAACTGATTCATTAGAGCAACTCCTGTTCAATAAAATAATTATTCAAAATATATTTAAATATTATATTTTTCATTTTAGCTAACAATTTTTTCAAATTCCCTCCAACCATACTCTATTTTTTAGCTACTACTTCAACTAACTTTAACTAATTTTCAATTATATAATTCAAAATTTCAACTCAAAACATGTATAATCATCAACCCAATCAAAATCATACCATAATAATAATTCTAATTAAACTTTAAATAATACAACTTAATGACAATTTAACACTCATCCACTTTAAATAACAAAAATTAATTGTACAATACGTTTCAAATACTTACATTAATATTTTATAGGGGTCTATATTTAAATATTCTATTATACATAAAAACTAAGGGAGTATTCAAAATTTGAGGGAGGTTTCAGAATTTGTTTGGGGGTTCAGAATTTATTTTAGGGGTTTCAGAACCTGGTTTACAGCAGCAGCAGCAACACCCCCATCCACCTCGCCAAAACCTGGTTCACAGAAGCAATAACAAGGATCAGCAACAACTGACGAACAATTTCTCCTCGCTAGATCTAGCGAGCAACTTTGGCTTCCTAGGTTTTGGCGAGATGGATAACTAGGGCATTGGAACTGAATTTGTGAAGATTGCTCGCCAAAACAGCTAAAATGAAGGAGTAGCAATCCTCGTTGGAGATGTTCTTACGTAATAAACATAGCAAAGGTTTTCCAAGTTCGTAGAAGGCTACACTTACAAGTCTCAAGAACAGTGATTGGACCTCCCCAGGTATAAAACCTGAAGTCCTTGCCTATATACAGAGGCAATGCTCTGAGGTACATAAAATAAGGAAGAGTATTGTTATGTTTAAAACCTGAAGTCTTTAGTGCCTCACGAATGTACTAAAGACTTGATTCAAACTCAATAAGAATTGCCCACGAATATCCTAACGACTTGATCTAAACTCGCTAAGAAATGCCCAAAATTAACCCAAGCACTGTTTATTCGAAAAACAAAAATCTAATTAGAAGGTCAATTTGTAAGTAAATAATACCAGTAACTAGACCCAGAAACATATCTGCTATAGGGAGCTCACTATTCAATCAGCCCTATATTTATTTATCGACAGTTCTATAAATGAAATAGAATAATCACAAAGGCAAGAGAATCCTAGAGCACTAAAGTAAACAGGTGAAAACATATTTCTAGATTTCTACTGTGTTTGGGGGATAGCAGCAGGTTCCAAGGCTGATGACCTGATGTCGTACGTAAACATCTTCAAAAACATCAACAAACCTAGAATACCAAATAACATTTACAAATTCCCAAAAAATAAATAAAGTAAAAAATCAGTTCTAAAATGCAAAAATAACAATCATACATACAACGTTCACATAAAAATTATCCATCAAATTATCTTCAAATCAACCTTCCCTGCACCTATTACCACACACCCATGTAATTAACAAACAAATCACTATGAAAAGAGAACATGCTGCAAATACAAAGACAAACCTTTCCACCATAACAACCATGAACACAGCAATCCCATGAGTTTTAATTTAAAAGTATGGATATGGATCGATTGGAACGTCAAGAAAAAAAAGACTATAAAAACTAAATCATCATCCTGATGGAAACATATGTCCAGGAGATTCAATTGGACGGACCTCACCTACAAGTACTGAGAGGCTTCAGTCTCCTTCCTTATTCAGACCGATTCGCATACCTTCAACCTTGGCATCGTTGAGGTTAATACCAACCATTGCCTCACCCCAACCCACAGCTCACATCCGCCAGCACCTCCGGATCACTGTAATGCGTCACTGCCTGCACAATCGCGCGAGCCCTCCTCGCTGGATCACCACTCTTGAAAACGCCAGACCCAACAAAAAACACCATCGCACCCAAGCTGCATCATCAAAGCGGCATCGGCCGAGTGGCCACCCCTCCGGCAGCGAAATGCACCACGGGAAGCCTACCCAGCTGCTTCGTCTGCATAACCAAATCGTAGGGCGCCTGAATTTCCTTCGCAAAAGTGAAAACCTCATCGTCGTCCATGTTGCGGAGCACTCGAATATCACCCATCACGGACCTCAACGTGACGGACGGCCTCGATGATGTTTCCGGTGCCTGCCTCGCCTTTGGTGCGAATCATGGCCGCGCCTTCACGAATTCTCCTGAGAGCTTCACCAAGGTTTCGGGCAACCACAGACAAAGGGGATCCGAAAATTGTGCTTGTTGATGTGGTTTTCATCGTCGGCGGGGGTGAGGACTTCGGACTCGTCGACGTAGTCGATTCCGATGGCTTCGAGGATTTGGGCTTCCACGAAGTGGCCAATCCGGGCCTTGGCCATGACTGGGATAGTGACGGTTTGCTTGATTTCCTTGATGAGCTGTGGGTCCGACATGCGGGCCACGCCTCCTTGGGCCCGTATGTCGGCGGGGACTCGTTCCAGGGCCATGACCGCGCAGGCGCCGCCGGCTTCTTCGGCTATGCGGGCCTGCTCG